AAATCTCTTAAGTATCCTTATGTGGCAGTGAAGCTAACAGTGGCAGATCATTTTGGCCAAGTGAAGACAAAGTCTTTTGAAATGACAATTCCACAGTTTCAGGTTTGTAGTTTAACTCCTGAGTTTAAGTATGGTTGCTGTTTTAGAAGCTATATAAAATCTTTGTTGAGAGAAAACTTTAATTTTTTTTTTTTTACTTTCAAGTTGATGTGCTTTACATGCATTAGTGCATAGGAGATCAAATTTGTTTTCTTTAGGAATTTGATAAGTTATTTTCAGTAAGTTGTGCTGAATTTGTGTATACTGGCATTAATTACTGTAACAGTTCTCTGTGCATATGTTTAGGAATTTTTCAACTTTTGGTAGCATTTTTACTTTCCAATTTAACTTTTTATTTTTCTTTAGGTTTAGTAATCAATAATCTTAAGTAAAATGAATCTTTTCTTTGAATAACCTTGACCCCCAATTTTTAGACTAATGTTAACAAAATGCAGATCAGAGCAAGTACTTATTGATCAGTGAGCAGTTTTATTATCTAGAGATGTAAGGTAACAGTTTATGCTTAGACTTACATAATTCATGTTATCAGTTACCATCCCCCCTTTCTTTTTTGAGACGGTCTCTGTAGCCCCAGCTGGCCTGGAACTCACTACGTAGACCAGGCTGGAACTCACAGAGATCCACCTCCCTCTGCCTCCAAGTACTGGGACTAAAGGCGTGAGCCACCATGCCCGACTTAACCTATTTTTTGGTACGCAAGAAAGAAAAAGAGTGAGCACTAAATCAGATTTTCTTTTGAATATCATAGCAAGTTTAACTGGGCTGTACAATGTTGATTGCTTTGCTTTGTGTGCTTCAGTAGCCAGAGCAGTTAGTGCTCAAAGGAAAGTGGAGTACTCTGGAACAGCAACCTCAGTGGATGAAATGAAAATAAAAACAAACTTTTCGCAAAAATAATTAAAATATATTGGTTCTGGGCATCCTTTTTTATGTGTGTGTGAGATCAGGGATCACACCTAAGGCCTGTTCATGCTCAGCAGGTGCTCCATCACCAAGCTCAGCCTTCCTTTTTCCCAGCCTGGGTCTCTTTAGTACGAAAAGCCTTGTGTAGACCACTTTATAACCTTTGATTTCTTCTTTTATAAACTATGTTTTGAGGGTTCTTTTAACTTTGATTTCTTTCTTTTAAGATAGAAAGAGTCCCAAATTTACCATTATGGACATTGATTAGTGTTTGGGACTTGGAAAAGGAAATACAGTTGTATAGCCTTGAACCTCTTCCATTTTGAAAGAGAGCATGGGTTTCAGTCCTTGCAGTAGTTCACAAATCCTGAACTGCTTGTTTTTCTGCGTGGCCTTGCTTTCTGATTCACCCCTAGAAGTTTTTTTTTTTTTCTCTTCGGAGTAAATAACAGATCACCTTTCCCCCTACAACTTTATTGAGTTATAATTGACAAATAAATAGTATATTTTCAAGGTGTAAAACGTGATGATTTAATTAAAAAATACATTGTACAATGACTGCTTCAATGAAGGTAGTTACCACATGCATTGTCACACATAGGTGTGTATGCGTGTGCGTGCATGGGGGCGGTGTATCTAGTGGGAAGTTTTAAATTATACTCTTAGCAATGTCCCATAACAATATACTATTAACTATTCTCAGTATTCTCCGTATTAGATCCTATAAGTTTGTACCCTTTGACCAACATCTTCATTTTCCCCCACACCTAGTCCTTCTGTTCTCTGCTTCTATGGGTTTGACTTTCCTAAATACCACATACAAACAAAATCACATAGCATTTGTCTTTCTGTGTCAGGTTTATGTCTCACCATAATGTCCTCCAGGTTCACGCTTGTTGGGAATGTCAGGATTTCCTCTTTTGTGCCTGAGCAGTGCCATTGCGTATATATGCCTCCTCATAGAACATGACAAATACAGGCACATATGTTACATGCGTCTACTTGCCATTTTATGTGAAGTACCTGCTCATCTGTAGATGTTGTGATCCACAGGCATGCACCACTACACCCTGCAGGGACAGCTCTTAAAAGCAATCTTACGTGGCTTAAAGCTAACTAGACAGATGGAGCCTATTAGTCATATTACCTGACAGACAGCTAAGGAATGTTCCTTGAGGTTTTAGGTTAATACTTCTTTAGTAGCTTAGATTTTTTTCATCAGTATGTTTTTGTGTGTATTTTTTAAATTATGTGTGTGTGTGTGGCTATGAACACATGTTTGCGGATGTTCACAGAGGCCATAGGCATCATATCTCCTAGAGCTGAAGTTATAGGTGATTTTGAACTGCACAGTGTTGGTGCTGAGAACCAAGCACAGATCCTCTCTGCAAGAGCAGTATGCATCTTTTTTAAAAAATATTTTATTATTTTTATTTTATGTGTATGAGTGTATTGTCTGCATGTATGTGAGTGCACCCGTGTTGTGCAATGTCATGGTCAGAAGAGGGCTTTGGATTCCCCTGGAACTAGGGTTAAGGACAGTTCTTAGCCGCCATGTGGGTGCTGGGAATCGAATCCGGGTCCTCTGCAAGAGCAATCAGAGCTCTTAACTGCTGAGCCATTTCTCCAGCCCCAAGCAGTATGCATCTTAACTGATGAGCCGTCTCTACGGTCCTCAATATGTATCTTTTTAAGCCTTGTTGGATTTTATAACAAAGTTACGTATAAGTTGAACTAAAATACGGTTTTAAGTGGCAAAATAGAAAATTAAGATGAAGGTCAATAATGAAAATACAAATATGTAAAGTATTTGAGGGTGTCTGAATTGATGAGGTTAAGTTTCACATTTGTCTCCTAGCTTCTTGACAGATACAGGAGGAAAAAAAAAAAAATGATCCTTTTATTTGAGATTTTAACAAAAGACTGACAAGACTGACTTTTAGAGCCAAAGTGGTATTACATATCTTTAATTCCAGCACTCAGGAGGCTCAGGAAAAAGAATCAAAAGTTTGAGGCCACCCTGAACTACATAGTGAAGTGCTGTCTCAGAAAAGAAAGAAAACATTGGTCATGAGTTAATTGTTCAATTGTAAAATGTTATTTTTGTTTGTAATAAATTGTACTTGTATCATTGAATATGTAATATTAAAATATAATTGAATATGTAATATTAAAATATAAACAATATTATATAGCCCTTAGTAATCACATATAAAGGAAATGCATGTCCTTTAAAATCAAAATTAATATTTTCCTCTTTCTCTCCAGAATTTCTACAGACAGTTCAAGGAAATTGCTGCTGTAATTGAAACTGTATGAAAACCAGTTATTTGGTTGATACTTTCCAATTATTCTAAAATAATGCATACCACCATCTGAAACAAGAATTGCATAAGGATCAACTGAGATTTATTGGATGAAAATTACACTTCCAGTTTTCTTTTTTTAAAAAATAATTAAAAATACAGATGAACAGGAATTAGTGGTAATGGATGCGCAGCCTTGTCAATGAACTGGAAATGACTACATTGAACACTGACACTGTACATTGTGTCTAAGTTGCATCTTAATCAAAATCAGATGAATAACACTACTGAAGCTAACACAAGTTTGTGTGTTAGAACATACATCTGAAGACTTACTGATGATGGAGTCCACTTTATAAATAAAATCTTGGTATGGAATTCCACACATGTAAATCAGGAAAGTAAATTTGATGAAAGCAGCTTTACTATTTCAGTTTTATAACATTCCCCTGAAAGGTAGTCAGAGGAGTGGGTCTCCTTTCTCAGACATTGGAACCAGGTTAAGATAAAGCAATCTTCCATTGTGTTTGCTAAGCAGGTGTTTCTGCTATTGCTATTTGTAGAAAATCCATCACCTATACTTTGGTGTTTGGAGCACAAAGCAGAGCATCACCTGGCAGCCTGTGCATACATTTCTTCCATCTGTTGTGCTTGTTAATCAAGTGCAGTGAGTTGGCTTTCTTCACCTCTGATTTTCTACAAGTGCCTCACATTGATGGAACATCGACCAGAACCTTTGACATAGATGTTGGATTAATTGTTTCCTAGAGAAGGGAGGTTTAGGGAAGCAAACATGTCCCAAGTTTTTATTGGTTAGAAATAGGAATTAGTATAGCCACCCATATGTTATATTGAAATTTCAACTCAGGAATATTGTCTTAGTTTGTTTCTTCATTGCTGTGACAAAATACTATGACCACTACCAATTTGGGGAGGAAAGGGTTTATTTAGCTTACATATCCCAGGTCACAGTTCATCAAGGAGCCCAAGGTAGGAACTCAGGGCAGGAACCTGGAGGCAGGAGTTGGAGCACAGGCCATGGAGGAATGCTGCTTACTGGCTTGCTCCCCTGGCCCCTGCTCAGCCTTTCTTATGCAACACAGGCCCACCTGCCCAGGGATGGCACCACCCACAGTGGCCTGGGCCCTCCTACAACACTCATCAAGAAGATGCCCCTCAGACATGGCCACAGGCCAGTCCAATAGAGGCAATTCTCCAATTGAAGCTCCCTCAACCCAGGTGTGTCAAGTTGACACTAAAGCTATCCAGCACAAATATATCCTTAGAAATAAAAACACCAGTATGTAAAAATAGTTGGCAAAATTTGACTGATGCTTATCCATTTCCTTGGAATGGACTATAAGACTACTTCCCAGCCTCTCTTGCAATTAGACTTAAGAGCCGTATGATTGTGTTGAAGCCAGTGGGAACTAGCTAAAAATGTCTTAAGTATATCCAAAATTTGGTTATAAGTCATTCTTTGGTATCTTCTAAGAGCTCCTATTCTTAGTGATGACCAAAAAATGGATCCCTAAGTCATTGTTAGAGTCATACTCCCCACAATAATAACCTAATTACCTAAATAAAGTCCTATAACTATAAGAAAGAGTAGATACTGGAGGACAAATGATTTCTTCTGTGCTAAAGTAAAGGTGTATATTATGAGAACAGAAGAGACAGTGGGTTACCTAAGGCTTCGCAGAGGGTTTAATCAATCCTAAGGGGGAATCAGAAAAAAGATATTACATAATAATAAGCTTCTTCAAACTCTGGTTATCAGTGATAACCATTCTCAACATACACATTCACATACAGATTTACAATTAATTATTAAAAAATACTTTAGAGCTGCCTATTTCATTTTTCCCCTGGTTGTTTGGTTATTCTGAAATTGTATAGTAGATTCAAACAGATTTGGGGCATCTCCATAGAGAAATGTCATTTTTAGGCAAAGAAAAATATTGAGGAAAAGTTGGGTAACACCAGTGGGAGCTTATCTCCTGCTGAGGGGAATATAAATTGGTCCAGCCACTTCTAGAAATGACTTGAATTATCCTCTAAAGTTGAAGTATATGTCATGGTTTAGCTGTTCTACTGCTAGAGCTGTTAAGTTGTATCCTCAAGAAGGTCCATGACTGCCGGGCATTGGTGGTGCACGCCTTTAATCCCAGAACTTGGGAGGCAGAGGCAGGTGGATCTCTTGTGAGTTTGAGGCCAGCCTGGTCTACAGGCCAGCTGGGGCTACCGGAAGACCCTCTCTGAAAATGACCAAAAAAGAAGAATGTCCATAGCTTCATGTTCACAATGCAGAACTAACTACAACCCAAATGACCATTGACTGAACAAGTGATAAAGTTATATTTTCATAGTAGAAAATAATACTGTGAAGAAAGTCAACTAAAAGTGCACATATAGATAAATGAATGGCAGGCCAGCTGGGGCTACCGGAAGACCCTCTCTGAAAATGACCAAAAAAGAAGAATGTCCATAGCTTCATGTTCACAATGCAGAACTAACTACAACCCAAATGACCATTGACTGAACAAGTGATAAAGTTATATTTTCATAGTAGAAAATAATACTGTGAAGAAAGTCAACTAAAAGTGCACATATAGATAAATGAATGGATCTTAGTAACATGATGTTCAGTAAATTTTTTTTTTTTTTTGGAGACAGGATCTCCCTGTAGCCCCAACTTCCCTGGAACTCACTATCAGGATGTTCTTGATCTCATAGAAATCTGCCTGTCTGTGCCTCCTGCGTGCTGGGATTAAAGATGTGCACCACCACACCTGGTGTAAGTTCAGTACATATGTGAGTATATAAAAACATTTACAAAGTAGTCAAAAAACCAAACAAAGATTGATTATCCCCAAGCTATAAGGTCAAGACATATAAGAACAGGCTGGAAGGGGAACCTGTACTAGATGTAAGTTACGGGTATTCAAGAACCCGTTATGAGATGGGTCCTTATTACGTTGATAAATAAATATGAATACATAAAATAAGCAGGTTGTGTTTAGATCAATGTTAAAAATATTCCACAAGGACCCATGATTCAGTAATTCAACCAGTTTTGTGCTTCTGATGCTAAGGCAAGCAACAAACAAAACCTACTATAAGTGTAGATACTGTTTTCAGAAGAAACCGCTGGATCCGTTAATCCAGTATTCAAGCATAGCTTTGTAAACCATGAAAATCAGGCTGATGCTCGTTCCTCAGGAGGGATAATAGATTCTGACAAAATTCGGTAAAGACTGGAGAACAACTCAGAATTCCTACTTAATCTATACTGAGAGGTCCTTGGCCGAGAAGACTAATAGTTATGCTATTGACTAACTCACCAAACACTGAACATGTATGCATCAGACACTGATGGTTAATCTTGGTTGTCAACTTGACTGGACCTGGGATTAACTTAGGGACAAGCTGCTGGGTACACCTGTGAGGGATTTTCTCAATCAGGTTAATTGAACTGGGTAATGTGGGCAACACTTTCAGGTAACAATCCAGATAAAAGGAGGTTGGTCCAAGAGAAAGCTTTTTGCCTGCTTGTTTGTACATCTTGCTGGTGAGACTGTGTACTGTTTGTGAGACAATGAGCTCATTTCCCCATTGTGAGTTCATCTACCCTGTTGGTGAATTCATTTTTCCTGTTGGTGAGTTCATCTGCTCTAGTTCATCTGCCCTGTGTGTGAGCTCATGCACCCTGTTAGTGAGTTCATGTTATTACTGCTGCTGCTTCAGCTGCATTCCGTCACTGGTGTCAAACCCAGCTTGTTCAGGCTTCTAATATGGACTGAAGATTAGTGGCTCCAAGCATTTTCCAAGCCTTGCATGCTGGTTTTGGACTGCTGAGACCTTCAGCCTCATGAACTGAGCAGCTACTGGGTTCTCAGCCTTTCCAGTGGAATACAATCATTGTTGAACTACCGAGCTGTATCATGTAAACCAATCTAATAAATTCCCTTTTAATATGTGCTCATTCTGTTCCTTCCTGACTAATGCAGACACTGCAAATCACTTGGGATATGATGGTGAATAAGACAAATCTCACAGGGCTTATTTGTTGAGAAAGCCAGATTAATAATTCATAATTAAAAATCAGTGGGCCTGTTAACTTTTATACAATGTGGTTGAAGACGCAACATAATGAATTAGCTACTTGGACAGGAAGTCTGCATCTCTTTATTTTAAATTATGTGTATGTATGTATTTGTGCGTGGGCATGTGCACATGAGTGCAGGTGCCTAGGGAGGCCAGAGATATTGGATCCCCTTGAAATGGAGTTACAAGCAAGTGTGAGCCACTTGACATGGGTACTGGAAGCCAAACTTGAATGCTTCACAAGAGTAGTATGTGCTCTTAATCACTGAGCCATTTCTGCCTTGCAAGGTGTGCTGGATAGCTTTAGCCAACACACCTGGGTTAGGAGAGCCTCAATTGGGGAATTGCCTCGATTGGACTGGCCTGTGTCTCTGTGTCTAGGACATCTTGATATTCAGTGAAGTGGTACCACCCCTGGACAGGTGGACCTACATTGTATAAAAAAGCAGGTTGGAAAAAAAATAAAAAATTAAAAAAATTAAAAAAAAAAAAGCAGGTTGAGCAGGGGCCAGGAGCAAACCAGTAAGTCAGCCCTCTAAGGCCTGTACTTCAGATTCTGCCTCCAGGTTCCTGCCCTGAGTTCCAACTTTGGGCTCCCTGATGAACTGTGACCTGGGAGATGTAAGATTAAAATAAACCCTTTCGTCCCCAAGTTGGTATTGGTCAGAGTATTTTGTCACAGCAACGGAGAAACAAACTAGAACACAAGGTTTCAACATTACTGTGAACCAGTGACTGTTGCCTTTCCTGGTTGTCTCCAAATGGAAGTCTTACTTGTATTATTTGTATTTGTGTCTCTGTTCCACCAGTGAACAATGGGTTGTAAGGGGTCTGCAGATACATTAACTTTCAGTTCCTTGGTTGCTGTACTATGTGGATCTACTTTTGGATAGGATGGAGATTGCTGTGCATTCAATGGAGACTCTGCACTTGGGCAGTGTTTTATCGTCCAGTGTGGGAAAAGGAGTGTCATGGATATTTGGAGGACAGAGGAGCAGTCCCTGGCCAAAATGACCAGCTGTGTTCTCTGTTGGAAAATAGTGGCAACAACTCCTAGGTTTGTTATGGAAACTAAATATGTAACATGTAGTGAGACTCAAAATGTGTAACCTTGAGGGCCACACATCTGAAAGGTGCTTATGAAAGCAGAAAACTGGAAATTCTAGAAGCCCTATACAACCCTCTGCATCATGGGATGCTGGCCTGGGACCTTGCTTTGTTATCCTGACCACCCTGCATAAGAATATTTTATTACACAGATGACAATACTAGTCTC